AGAAATTAGGGATTTCAGTGGGAGGCGTTAGATGACTTACTAACCTAACTGTGTTTATTAATGACTCTGTCTCAGGATATGTTTCATTCTTGTTTTGTTTTCCTTGCTCCTGTTTGTGGCAGCTGCTGAAAGCACGGACAGGAAGGGAACAATATGCTGCTGAGGGTTTTTTTTTTGTTGGAGATAAGGCCTGGAAATCCACGCTGCTTTCATTTGTCCACATCCACAGCATGGGCCAGTGTTGTATCAGTGAGGTGCAGGGGGGAGAACTTCAGGTTTTGGTCTGCCTTATTCAGGAGAATAAGCAGAAGAATGTAAAATGTCACTTTTTCCTTCCCCAGATAATGCCAAGCAGGGTGTTTGTTGGATTTCTTGGTGACAAAACGATGGATGTAAATATTTGGCCTTCTCTCAACTTCTGAAATAGGAAATTTAGAGGGAGTGGATGTTTGACTGCATTATCCTTAATCAGAATCAAGATTTACTCATGTCACTTGTGCATTTTCTGGCTAAAATGGCTTTCCTTAAGGAAAAAAAAAGCTACTTCCACTGGTGACAAAGTGGAATTGGCTGAGAGGAGAGTGTAATGCCAGGCAACAGGCATCACTTATGTAAACCCTTCTTGCATAGGTGCTGCTTGTCCCCAGCGTGGCAAATCCTGCCTTGCCCCTTCAACAGGCTGCACAAAGCCTCAACTCTTTCCTAAAGCCCATTAAAAGGCTTTTCCATCCCAATTAGCATCACAGATTTCAAGAATACCAACTTAATTTAGCCGAAAGCTTTTTTAACAGCCTGTTTTTACACAGAGACCTTGTCTGGATTCCAATAAACCAAAAAAAGGTGCTCGGTGTAGTAATCATATTTAGGGGAAAAAGGGAAAACCCGTGGCCAAGGCTCACAGTCCCAGGGTAACACAGCAGCTTTTCTTTGTGCCTCTGGAAACCTACCTTGTGAGCTTTTATCTCCACTCAGGTGTCGAGCCCTTGCTCTGCCTGTTCTGCTGACACCCTCAGAACCTGTTCCCAGCCCTGCCATCCGTGTTTGACTTGGCACTGCACCCCAGCAGACTTGTGAAATCGTGAGGAGAAGGAGGGGGAATTGGTGGTTTGGTTTTGTTGTTTTGGTTTTTTTTTTTTTAAAAGTTCATCTTGAGCAAAGTATTACCATATGTTGCAGATGATTTATTTGCTAGGCTGGGCTTTTCAGACTTTGCACTGTTATTTATTTGTTTGTTTAAGCAAGATGAAGAAACATTCCTATCACCTCGGATTCCTTCCTCTTCTCCTTTACAGATGGCAATTTTAGTTTGAAAAGCAGCATAGGCACTGGCACGAGCTAAAGATGGAACATGATACTGATGACAAAACAGAGAAATGAATGGTTAGGCTTCCTTTAAAAAAAGAAATAAATCTTCCAGTTAATGCACTGTTGGGCATGGCAGCTTACCCCAGTTTCAGTCCACACAAGCCATAGCCAGTGCAGCAGGTACTTGCCTTAACTAGTTGAGGTTTGAAGCCTGGTACCTGCAGGTTTTTCTTGGAGGTGGGACGTGGCTGCATCTGCACCTGCATCACTAATGGAACCCAGAGCTCAGGTCACCTGGGAGAAGCTGGGGCTTGAGGGGAGGGAACTCAACCAAAATACACCCAGGTGAAACAAGTGTTGTGCATGTTTGGGTGAATGGTTTGAAGTTTGAATCCACAGGGAAGGCTGATAAGCTGAGGGGAGATTTAAGCTAGATAGATTTAGACCAAAAGGAAGAGATTTTTGACCCTGAGGGTGGTGAGCCCCTGGCCCAGGCTGCCCAGAGAGGTGGTCGATGCCCCATCCCTGGAACCATCCCAGGGGAGGTTGGACCAAGCTCTGAGCCCCCTGCTCTAGCTGCAGATGTCCCTGCTCCCTGCAGGGGGTTGGACTAGGTGACCTGGAAAGGTCCCTTCCCACCCAAAGCAGCGTGTGACTCTGTGATTCTGTGGAGCCCAAGTGAGGTCTGCAGAGCCTGAGAGACCTCCCGAGGTGGTGGCTTTACAAGGACCTCCCTTGTCCTTGGCCAGCAAGTTGCCAACGTGGCCACTGGTGCCCACCCTGGAGAGTCCCCTCCATGGCTCTCAGGGGGAGCTTTTCTCTGGCTGTTTTTATTCCATCTCCCCAAGCTTTGGCTGCCTTTTGAGATGTTCCTGGACTCCAGAGGAGGGCATCCACAGGTCCCTCCTGTGTGATCCTGTCACCCGTGACACAGGGGAAGGTGCTGAGCCAGGGTGTGTGTCTGTGCCCTGGAGTGCCTGCATCTTCAGGTGACAGGACTGATTCATCTGGATGTCTCTTGTCTCAGCCAGGAGCTTCTGTTTGACCAAATGGAAAAAGAGTTTAATCCTCTTCCCCACTTCTCTTTTTGCTCACTGCTGCTTCACTCACAGCAAGGAAAAGAAAAGTGAGGAGGAAAGAGAGAAAAATACAGAGGGGTGATGAATTCTGTGCATTATAAAGTCTCCTTTCTGAGGAGAAAGTACCCATTCCCTTTTCAGGATGTATTCCTCTTGTTTTGGGGGAGGGGAGGCAGTTCCCTTTGAGTGGAAAACACCATTTTTAAATTGCAAATTTTTGCTGTCCTGAGGCATAGCAGCTGATACAGGTGTAGCTGAAGGACTTTCACACGGGGGCCCTGCTCTGAAAGATTCACTTTCAAGTGCAGCTTTTGGTGGGAGCCCTGCATAAACCAGTGCTGAAACTCAACGTGTCACATACAGGATACAGGGGTGCTGGCCCCAGGGAGGTCAGGGGCTGGGGAGGTGCCTCAGGACACCCCAAGGTGAGGCCCCAAAGACCATGTTCCTAGTGGTGCTCTCCAGTCCTCACCATCCACGTGCTGACGGAGCAGGAGGAGCATGCCAGAAGCACTGCTGGCTTTCACAGGAGGCTTTGTCATCACCTCTAAAAGTAGCCTGCAAGCTGTTCATTCAGGTGACTGCTGTAACCCTTTAACAGCCTCCCTTTCCCCCAGCAGTTGTGGTGGTTTGGTGGTTTTGTTTTGCTGGAGATGAATGCCTGGCCTCACGGAACAGGGGCTGCCAAGTGAGCTGGGGGAGAGCTGTAGGTCCTGGAGCTGGAGGAGCACGATGTGTTGGCATTCCCACCCCTCACCACCACCACCAGAGACTCTTGTCACAGTCAGCAGACCTCTTTAAGTAAACATTTGCTTTCTAAATGGCACTGGTGTGGTATTTCATGGAATTCAGGGACTATGCTGGCAATAATGATCAAGGTAGGATGCGAGGGGATTGACGGGGGAGATAAAACAGATCAAACCTCCAGCACATCACATTATTTCTGTCCCAGCCTTTTGGGTACCATGATGCCAAAGGCCATGGTGCATACACTTCACTCTTGCCTCTTTCATGGAGGCCATGAGCCCAATGGCTTCGTGGGTGACTTGGTTCTCTCTTCGTTTTCAGGGAATAAAAAAAGGTCTCTGGAAGTTTACCTAGTGGTGAAAAGAACAACAATGGGAGTTTGTCAGGGACAGGACAGGGAGGGGGCGGTTCCAGGATTTTGTCAGAAGTCCTTTCTAATTGCAGGATGTTTTTTTAATGAGTAGGCACATGTCCTTTTCCTTGATGTGGAGGGTGAAGGCAGTATGGGGAGAACTAAGGCAGGGGGAAACCTGTGAAAAACTCCTAGTGCCTATAATCCTCTCAGCAGCAAAATCTGACTGCTTTGTGTTCTCTGGTGGTTGTTTCTGTGGAGCTGTGACCACAAGGAACCCTGCTGAGTGAAACCGTGTCACTTGCTGAGCAGCCTGGACGTGCCCTGTGGTGCTGCAGAGCTCCCATCCCAGCTGTTTAAAAGGCAGGAGGTTGGTTTGTCGACGTGTTGGCCAAATGCTGGTCCATGGTCCTTCCTGCCTGCAGCAGAGCTGCATTTCCAACAGCTTCCAGTTTTTGAATGCAGGTCTGCTTTGTGGGAGAAACTTTTTATTTTTTTTAGCTGAGCTTGGCATTTGAGAAGTTAAGAAAAAGAAGAAATGAAGTGTGGGTAGGGAAA